TCAAGCACACACAGAAGTTTGCGAGGTGTTATAGTGGTAAAGGCTCAAGCCCTTTTCTCCCACTTTGCAGCTTTGTGATTTTTTTACTAGAGACACGATCTCTCTGGACCTTGGATTTCTCATCTACAAAATGAGGGTCACAGTCCCGATCACTCAGGGAGGTTGAAAGGCTAAAACGGAGTAATAGGGTAATTTCTTATACTGTAGCAAGCACTCAGTAATGGAAAGTATTGTTATTCTAATTATTTCCAATAAGAATAGTGCCTTTTATTGGGGAAAGATTCTACTTGGTTTATTTCTTCCTCTATGAGGTACTGGTTAAGGATTCAAATCAAAACAACCCTCAATCAGATGCTGCTATTTTTACTGATGAGTTGTAGGACCTTGAGCAACTGAATTCTCTTTGTTACCATTTCCTCATCTACTAAATACAGTCCATGATACCCTATCAGAGGGCTGCTGTGAGGAAGTAAAGACATCATAATGAATGCCTGGCACATAGCATGAGATCAATAAACAAACTGCATAGTACAGGGGGGAGTCATTCCCACCTGCAGGAGCTCCATTTATCCAGTTGCTGTTGTTGCAAATACAAATACAAGTCGAAGGGCAAAGAATGTGCATTTCTTTGCTTTCCTATAATTTAATTTCTATTCTCTGCCAACCCCATTTCACAGGTAGCAACCCAGCTCTGACTGCTCTTGTCTTCCTAGAGTGGGTCTAGGGAAGAAGTGCTTGCAGAATGCCAAGGCACTCAGGTTGGAGGCGTGTGGGCACACCCTGGTCCTCTGTCAGATTCTGCCTGCACTGGCATCTGGGGGGACAGCCCATCCCATTTGGTCCACACTGGCAGAGTAATCACCTTTCTCTTTCTCAGTTACAAGGTCTTGCAGATCTGCAGGTGCTCAGGACCATGTTCTAGTCACTCTTGGGTGCATGACAAATCCTCTATGGCACCTGGGCCACACAGAGGCATGGAGATCTTTGGGCTATTTCAGGTCTTCCTGGCCCCTCTACATGGGCATGGGAAACCCTGGGGTCCTGCCACTTCCCCAGGGTTGACCTTGAAAAGGGGCACAGGGGCTTCTATTCCTGAATCCTCATGTCACATTGCCCACTCGCGTCCAGGTAACCTTGCTCTGCCTGGCATGGTAGCTTTTAGTCATGTGGATTATTGGTGCCCTGAGTCCTTCAGAGCCCAAAGCCCGGGTTCTCACAACTCCAGAGCCTAAGCCCTTGGCACTCAAATATCTTCCCGCTGCTTTTTTTTTTTTGCTGCATCATCCTTTCTCAAGGTAGCATATGCCCCTGACTGAATGGGGAAGAATGAAAACAGGATCAGGGAGGAACCTGGGTGGATAATTCCATCGGCTTTTCTACCACACCGTGTTTTGCTGAGAAAGAAAAATTAGGGAGTACAGAAAAAATTGAGGGGTAGGGGTGGAAAATTCCTTCAGGACTGAAAAAGTTTTTGATGTTACTGGGACCCTCCTGTGGTCTGAGCCTCTGCTCCTGGGATCCTGGAGAAGCTCCTTCCCTGAACTGGAAGACACACTCTCTGAGGATCCTGCTCTGTTTGCAAGGCAGGTGGCATTTTCTGCCCAGCCTGCCTCTGCTGCAGCCACCTGCCCCCATGCAGACAGGACCCACAGGGTCTCCAGGCTCCCTTGACCTGTTGTCTTTTTGGTCCCACCCCATCAGCACCCCTATTGAGCATGCGCCGGTGTGCACCACCCAGGCCGCCATCCCACTGCTGCCCGCTTCCGCCCAGCTGCCTGCTGCTGCCTCTCCCAGTGCGGCTTCGCCACCCCTGGCCACAGCTGCCGCCCATACTGCCATCGCCTCCGCCTCTGCCACAGCCCCTGCCTCAAGCCCCGCCGACAGTCCAAGGTAACTGGCCCACAGGTGCCGGGCCTGACCCTGGGGAAGGGAGGCAGGAGACGCCCCACTCTGGGTCCACCTGTGGCCAGCTATGTCCAAGGTAGTTAGGGCCCATGGGCCTGGAGGAAGCCAAGGCCAGCGCTGTTTGGTGCAGAGTGTAAAGGGGAAGCTGAGGGTGAATTTCAGGGCTGTGTACCACTGTGGCAGGGACTGTCAGTCTGCTCCCCAGGGGCACATACAACAGTAAGAGAGGTAACAGTCTCTCTCTTTCTCTCTCTCTCTCTCTCTCACACACACACACACACACACACACAAACACACAAATACACTCATATAAACACAGATAACAAAAGGGGACTGTGTGGAAAGTCTTTGTTCCTGGAACTCAACTTAGGTAGAATAAAAGTTGTCCTTGTGGGCTGGAGAAATCAAGGAGGGCTCCCTGGATGAGGGAGCGTTGAACTGGGCACGGAAGGCAGGTAGGATTTGGTCAGAGAGAGTTTAGCCATGAACTTCCCACTTACCCTCCCCTCTCTTCGGAAAAGCATGTTAACACCAGAGACACCTGGTATAGTGGGATTTACGTCTGCTCCACAGCTTACTGTGTGTAACCTTGAAAAAGTAACTGAAGCTCTCCGAACCTCAGTCTCCTCGTCTGTTAAGATGTTTACCAAACACCTATTCTATAGGGTTATGATAGAAAAAAATGTCTGTAAAATACCTAACACAAAGGAACAAGTATTGTGAGTTCCTGCATCCCAACCTGCCCTCCTAGACACCCAGCAAGGCAGAGACCAAAGGCCAGGGGAGAAAAGAAGAGGCAGAGGGGCCAGGCTGGCAGGTCACTCTGTAGTGGCATGTGGCCCATCAGGCTGCATGGAGCCAGCTCTCTATCTGGGCTTCCAAGGGTTGGCCAGTTAGTGTTTGGGGTCAGAGCCCAGGTGTCCCAGCCTCTCACCTTGTGGGGGAGGACATGCCTCTTGGATCAGGATGGGTAGGTCCACGGTGCAGCCTAAGGTGGGACTGATGTGGGCAAACTGGCTCAAAGGCCTGTCTGCTGCCCCCATCCCAGGCTTCACGTGACCCACATGGTGCCAAGCCCAGCCTTTCCCCAGCCCAATTCAAGCCTGAAGGAGGAGCCTAGCCCTGGGTTTCCAGGGGTGGATTCATCCCAGTTTCGTGGGGGGATTTAGGACACTACTTCCCTTCTCTATACCAGAATCTCTTTACATAATGGCCTTGCTACTTGCATAAAGAAGAGACTTTGAGAAGGGCAAGAAATGTCCCTGTTGTTGAGCGGGAAAAAGCCTCCCAGTTTGAATGGTGGGGGGCTATAGAAGCTGGAGCCCTATAGGCAGCCATCTCTGGGGCCCCAACCCTGCTCAAAGGCAGGCACCAGCACCAAGCTCAGGTCTCGCTGTCCTGGGCCTGCTCACCGCAAAGCTCCTGTGATCCTCCCTCCCTTCCATTTGCCTTGCAGGAGAGCTGGGGCCTGGGTGGAGCTTGGAGAGGGGCTCAGAGGGCTGCCCAGCAGGGAGTGGGGCTAGAGCAGAAGGGGTCACAGGGTTGCACTCTGAGCAAAGCAACCTCCCCTCCTCGCACATGGGCCGGGTGGAGCTGGAGCTGAGGGAGTCATGGGAGGCAAATGGATACTGCAGCCTTTAATGGGGGCATGACTTCAGAATTTTCACTGGATGCCATAAATTTTCACTGCACACTGCTGCCTTTCCCATTGCCAGTTCCTACTCAGGACCTGGGCTGCGAGCAAAGTGTCCTCCACTGATGGAGTCCAGCTAAGACCACTGCCCCTTGGCCCACCCCCAATCACCATGGAAGCCCCGCACCCCTTGGACACTGTCTCTTCCTCTTCCATGAAGACCCCTACTCTGCTGGTGTCAGCACAGGAATCTATCCAGAGAAGGGCAGGTGGGCCTGGGGAGGGGAGACAATGGCTTCACTCAGCCAGAAACTCAGCAGCTTGACAGGGCAAGTGGGCACAGTCCCCAGGTCTGGGATGCCGCAGGCCCCCTGAGGTTATTTTACCTCTGCCTTGTCTGGAACAGCCCATCGGACCTCTCTGGATCCACTCAGAAGTTTGGTTCTTATCCCAGGACCACCCCCTTCTCAGAGCCCCAGAAAGGAAGGCACTCCTCATCCTACAGCTCTGCCCAGCAGAGATCAGCAGGCCCCAGGCCCTTGAGGAACAGACAGAAGGAAGGCAGGAAACCATGGAGGGCTGGCAGGCAGGGCTCACTTCTCCAGCGCCTCCAGAATGACCCATTGTCCCTGGATGTGGGCATGTGATCCCCTTTGAGATCTGAAAGACCAGGGACGTGTTCTGCAAGGCGTTCATTAGTTTTAAATGAAGAAAAAGGTTTTACGAACAAATACAGTTTGGGAACACTGGATCAGACAAGGCTTAACAGGCTGCTGGATTCCAGGAGTTCTCAGCACCTTCAGCTCTCTGGGAGGAGAGGCCATGCACAGACTCTCCTGAGGGTAATGAACTAGGACACTTTTTTTTTCATCTCTTTGACCCCATTGTCCCTGGGCCACAGGCAGGGAAAGCTGACCCTAGGCCCCTTGACAACTAACCCAGTTGGAGGAAGGCGACAGGAATTCTGTGCAGAAGAGGTGTGTGTATTGGTTGTTGGGAGTGGCCTTGTGGGAGGTGGAGAGCTCCTGACTTCCCCCGAGCATCTGTGCCAGGAAACCTGAGACTTTGCTGTTCCTTTCAGCAACAACAGAAAAGGGTAGGCAGAAGAGGCCACGAAGTTAGGGGCTGAGGTGCCCCACGAGGTTGAGGGGGTAGGTAGTTCTGACCAGGACCATCTCCTCTCCTCTGTGCTCTTCCACAGTCCTGCCCGGGCAGTCTACAGGAGTGAAGGATCTTCCCAGTGTCCTCCTGTCTGGCTGGTGGCTTCCTCCCTCTCTCCAAAGGCGGTGTTGCTAGCTACCCAAGGAACGCCCTCCTCCCCTCCAAGACCCCTGTGGTCCTTCCTCCACAGTTTCTGGCAGCTCCCCAGGGGCTTCTGAAGACCCAGGAGCCAGCCTGTCTTGCCTGCAGGCCCCAGTGGGTGCTGTCCTTCTTGCTGTAACTCTTCCTCCCTTGGTTCCAGGCCCCAGACCTCTTCCTACAGCGCCGCAGCGGCCAGCTCTTCAGCACCTGCCACCCACACCAGCTACAGCGAGGGCCCTGCCGCCCCTCCAACCAAGCCCCGGGTTGTCACCACTGCCAGCATTCGGCCTTCTGTCTACCAGCCAGGTGAGAGGCAGAGCAGGAAGGGAGGCTGTCTAAGCCTTGGGCGGGCTCCAGGAGTCGCAAGAGCCAAGAGGTGGCTCTGTGGTCACATCCCCAGAAGAATGGGCAGCAAGGCCTTGCTAATGAGGCTCCGTCCTCCATCCCCCAGTTGTGGGCCAGAATCCTGTGGAACCTGCATCTGGCCTGGGGGAGACAGGTGGGCAAGAATGCAGTGGATGATTCTAAGGGAGAGCAAAGGAGGACAGAGGTCTTCTCTGGGCCAGGCGTGGTGACTCATGCCTGGAATCCCAGCACTCTGGGAGGCCGAGGTAGGCAGATTACCTGAGGTCGGCAGTTCGAGACCAGCCTGGCCAACATGGCAAAACCCCATCTCTGCTAAAAACACAAAAATTAGCTGGACGTGGTGGCACACACCTGTAATCCCAGCTACTCCAGAGGATGAGGCCACTGAACTCCAGCCTGGGCGACAAAGTGAGACTCGGTCTCAAAAAAAAAAAGTCTTCTTTGTGTCATGCCAGTGTTCGAGAGCTGGCCACAGCTGTGGGGGTACAGAACAGCACATACGGAGCCTCGACTAGGGAGCAGGTCCTTTCCAGGCGCAGCGAGAGACCCCAGGGAAGTTTTCCCAGCGGCTGGAGCCCAGGGAGATGAGACAGGCACTGAGTCGGGGCGGGCCTTGCTTGGGGGCTGTTTCATGAAGCTCCCTCTTGACAGAGGGGCTGAGCATGGGCGGCCGAAGCCGCTTTTGCCCGAGACAGAGGCCGGTGTCGGGGCCTGCTCTGCTGTGGACGGCCAAGCGCCTCATCCCTCCAGGCTGCGATGTTCATAGACACCTCGTGTTCTGGGGATGGAATGAAGCTCCCAGCACAGCGTCTGTCGCACGGGAGGTGCCCCTGTCCCTACAGAGAAGGGGCAAGGGCAGCCGGTTCTGAGGCGGAAACTCCTCAGGGCCAGGGGGCGTTCTGCAGCGGTGAAAAGCGGCGGGAGGCGGCTGCCCCTTCGGAGACTGGGAACCCGGGGAGGGAGACTGGGGAGGAGTTTGGAGGCGAAGCGGCGGGGGTAGGCGAGGCCTTGCCCGGGCGCCAGGAGGACATTTCCGTCTCTTCCTGGGCAGGCGCTGTTGGCACCTTCCGGGGCGGCCGCCGGCTGTCCTCGCCCAGCCCGCCAGGCGGCGTCAGGGCTCCGGGGGCGCGCGGCCGGCCCGCCCAGCGTCCCCTTCCTCCTCCTCCCCGGGCTGGGGCCCAGGCGGGCGAGACCGGCCGGAGCCGCGGGCCCCCCGCGCCATTCCCAGGCCGCGCAGACGTTAACTCATTCCTGCCTGGGGGGAAGGAGGCGGCCGGGCGGGCGCGCGCTGTAGCCGGCCTGCCTTCACCTCAGTCTCCCCGAGGCCCGGCTGCCGAGTGGGTTCCGGGGGCGGCTGGCAGGCGGCCCCGGGCGAAGCAGGGCGTGTGGGCCCGAGCCCCCCCTTCCGCTCCCCAGCCCTCCAGGCTCTTCAGACCCGGGCGTCGGGGAGGGTGGGCAGCCCCCGCAGGCCCCAGACCGCCGCGGCCGCAGCCGCAGCTCTCCCCGGGGCCTCCTCCAGGCTGAGGGCGGCGTTCGCAGGCCGGATCTTATCGCTGGCGCCCGAGCTAGGCGGCCGCTCCCCAGAACACCTGGGGCCCGGGAGGGGGCGGACGGCGGCGGCGACGGCTCGGGGACCGTGCGCACTGGTCGCGGACGGCCACGTTGGCCCGCGGGCCGGGCGGCGGCCGGGCGCTCGCGGAGAGCCAGTCCCGGCCCCCAGTGAGTCAGAAATCACCTTGTTTAATTACACATCCCCGAGCCCGCCGAGTGAGATAGAGGCCTTTTGAACTTGCCAATTAGAGATGAAATATCACCTTCTAATTTAGGCTGGTTTAATTCCGTCACGCAGAAATAGCAACAGCCCCGGGGCTCCGAGATGGGATATCAGGTCTCTCTTGGCAGGACGGTGAGCCAGGCTGAAGGGTGCAGAGGCCGAGGGCGGCGAAGAGCAGCTGCCTGCTCGCCCCCCGCCGGGAGTGGGGGTTGCGACCCGGGGCAGCAGAGCTGCCGGGCCGGGCCACCGAAGCCGGGGAGGTTCCTTCTCTGGGTGGTACAGCCCCGGGCAAGGAAGCCATCAAATCGGGGTCCAGATTCTGGCCTGCCTCTGTGAGATCTCTGTGTTGTGGGGACCAGGCGCGGTGGCTCACGCCTGTAATCCCAGCACTTTGGCAGGCCGAGGCGGGCGGATCACGAGGTCAAGAGATCGAGACCATCCTGGCCAACACGGTGAAACCCCGTCTCTAATAAAAATACAAAAATTAGCTGGGCGTGGTGGCGCGCGCCTGTAGTCCCAGCTACTCGGGAGGCAGAGGCAAGAGAATTGCTTAAACCCGGGAGACGGAGATTGCCGTGAGCGGAGATCGCGCCACTGTACTCCCGTCTGGCGACAGAGCGAGACTCCGTCTCAAGAAAACAAAAAAAAGGGCAGTGGATCCAGGAGTCTGGAAGGCCTTCCGATGGAGGAAAGTGACTGCCAGCCAGAGGATATAGGATTAGTATTGCCAGAAAGAGGCAGGAAAGGTGGGACAAGGCCCGATTTACTTGAAAGGGGTGAACTAAAGCCTATTTTGCTGCCTGGGGATTTTCTAAGCGGGGACCTGCTGTTGAGTCTGGCTGCCTCAGCTCGTTTCAGCTAGGCAGTTCACCAGCTGAATGACCTGGAGGCAGTCACTTAAGCTCTCCAAGCCTCAATTCCTCATCTGTAAAATGGACTTGCAAATATTATCTGCCTCCTTGGATTGCAGCGAGTAATTACTTGAAATAATGCTCGTTAAGGGCCTAGCATGCGAAAGCTATCATTTTAATGAGGGCAGCACCACCCAAAAGAAAGAAATTTTCTAGCAGCCACATTTTTAAAAAGTAAAAGAAAGCAAGTGAAATTTATTTTAATATCTTTCCTTTGACTACATATATTTAAAATATCAGGTGGAGTACGGCGGCTCACACTTGTAATCCCAGCACTTTGGGAGGCCAAAGCGGGCAGATCACCTGAGGTCAGGAGTTGTAGATCGGCCTTGCTAACCAGGTGAAACCTGTCTCTACTAAAAATACAAAAATTAGCCAGGTGTGGTGGCGGGTGCCTGTAATTCCAGCTACTTGGGAAGCAGGAGGCAGAGGCTGCTGTGTGCCACTGTACTCCGGCTTGGGCCACAAAGCAAGACTCTGTCTCAAAAAAAATAAATAAATAAAAAATAAAAGATCATTTCAACATACAATCAATATAAAATAATGATTAATGAGTCTTCAAAAATCTGGTGTGTGTGTTACACTAAAAGCACTTCTCACTTCTCAGGTGGACTAGCCATTTAAAGTGCTGATTGGCCACGCAGCACTATGTATTGGAAAGCGCAGGATTAGGGGTTGTGGTCTTAAACTTTTTTTTTTTTTTTTTTTTTTTTTTGAGACAGAGTTTCCACCCTTGTTGCCCAGGCTAGAGTGCAACGGCTTGACCTTGGCTTACTGCAACCTCTGCCTCCCAGTTTCAAGCGATTCTCCTGCCTCAGCCTCCCGAGTAGCTGGGATTACAGGCACCCGCCACTACGCTGGCTAAGTTTTTCTGTATTTTTAATGGATACTGGGTTTCACCATCTTGACCAGCCTGGTCTCGAACTCTTGACCTCAGGTGATCCACCCCCTCCTTGGCCTCCCAAAGTGCTGGGATTATAGGTGTGAGCCATGGCGCCCAGCTAATCTTAATCTATTTTAGCAGAGACTTGCGCTTTACAAAGAAAGGAAAGGGCCAGGCAAGGTGACTCACTCCTGTAATCCCAGCACTTTGGGAGGCCGCGGCAGGTGGATCATCTGAGGTCAGGAATTCGAGACTAGCCTGACCAACATGGTGAAATCCCATCTCTACTAAAAATACAAAAAATTAGCCTGGTGTGGTGGTGGATGCCTGTAATCCCAGCTACTTGGGAGGCTGAGGCAGGAGAATCACTTGAACCCAGGAGGTGGAGGTTGCAGTGAGCCAAGATCGTGCCATTGCACTCCAGGCTGGACAGCAACAGCTTATCTATAATAGAGGGATGAAGCTGCTCTGAAGTTGTGCTAGATCACCTTTCCCGCTCTCTGTCCCTCGTGGTATTCCTGGAATCCCCTCTTCCCCCAGCACTTTGAGATTCTCTGCTATGCAAAGTTGTTAGGGAGGGTGACAATACCTCCAATCTGAGCTGTACACATTTACCAAATGCATGCAGTATGTCACTGCAGCAGATGCCCACCATGCCCTGTGGGGCAGGCAGGGCATCAGGCATTCCGCCACCAGTGAATAGACCTCAGTCTCAGGTTATCTGACTTCAAGATTTCCCGTTTCCCTTTCCTGCTCTCCCCACACCCGATGCTTCCCCCCCCCACACACACACACACCCCAGTCTAACTGGGCGGGCTTCCCTAGGTGAGCAGCAGGCCGGGAGGCAGGCTAACAACAATACATCTGACACTGAGACCAGGTTGCCTCCGTCCTTGCCATCCTCACTCACATTTAGTGACACACTATGCCAGGTACTAGGCTAAGTTCTTTATATTTCTTACCTTCCCTTAATCCTCATAATAACCTCATGAGATACTAAGAATTATTATTGTCATTTTTAGATAAAGAAATTGAGGCCCAGAGAGGTTAAGGAATTTGCCCAAGGACACACAACCAGGAGGTAGTAGAGCTGGGTCCTGCAGCCGGGGCTCTTGGCTGTGCTATCAAGACCCCACAGCACAGGGTCTCCGAGTTGAAAATGACTCCTCCCTGACATGTTGCACCGAGACTTTCTGGAAATTGGACTCACGTTCCTTGCAGAGGCAGCTTGGGATGGTAGAATATATGGTTTTGAAGACATATTCCCACTGATTAGCTCTGTCTGAGCCTCAGTGACCTCAAATGTAAAGGGGAAATAATGGGAAGACTGATTCAGATGGCATGCTATGTGCCTCATTACCCCCTAAACATGAGGAAGATTCGTTCTGGAGAAGGTATTACCTTTCGAAGGCCTCACTCACAGGATGGCTCCAGGGCAGGGCTGTGGAGGGCTTTATCTCTTCTTCCTTCAATAACATGGATGAATCCTATCTACGCAGTTCCTACTCACCCCTAGCACAGGGGTTTCCAGGTCACCCAGTTCTGAAGGGTGGGTCACCTGGGAGTGGAAGGTGCAGAGTAGGAACCACAGGCTGCTCTGGGTGGCCCAGGGGATCCAGGTGGAAAAGAGAGACTGGAGGTGGGGCCAGGGTCTTAAGCCCTAAGGAAACCCTTCCTCTTTAGGTTGAGGCTGGAGTGTGGGGTCGGGGCAGGAGCGGGGCGTGGGTGTGGGAACTGCCTCAGCACAGTCCATCCTGCCCAGGCTGAGCTCAGGAACGGGGAGGGAGGTTGCGCTGACATGCTTCCTAGGGTGGGGGGAATGAGGCCTCTTTCTGGAAGGGCAGACTGTGAAATGAGGTGAGGCTTCTGGAACCTCCCTTGCTGGAAGGGGAGGCCAGCTAGACCTTGTGTACAGGGCACAGCTGGGTCTGCTCTGGCTAAGTGTTGAGGGCCCAGGCCCGAGAGGGCTGTGGGTAAGCAGTTGCAATGCTTTTTCTGTGCTGTGACCCAGAAAAGGGGAGCTGGAGGAGGGGGTGGCAGAAATGAGGCAGCGCCTTCTCTTCTCACTCTGACTGCCTGCACAATCTCTAGACAGTCACTCAGACACACTCTCAGCTTCTACCAAAGCGACGTGGAGGTCCAGAGGTGCCCAGGGCAGCCACGGGCCAAGCAAGCAGCTGCACCTGGGCTGTGTCACCCTAGAGTCTCTGCCCAGCACCCTCGAAATGCCTTCTTCAAGATCCCCCATCCTAATCAAACCAAGATGGAATTTCCCCGCAATACAAATCAATCCAAGCTGTTTTTCAAGAAAGTAATTGTAGCTAAACCTGAAACCTGAACCTGAAAACCCAGCTGCCAGGTCATCTGCTTTGTCCTGAGGGCTGAACTAGGTCCAGGTTCAGCAAACTCATGCCAAGGGAGGTATTTCAGATGTCAAATCACTGGTCAGAGTGCAACAGAAAGTTTCTCGCAGTCAAGAGTGAGCTGACCCACTCCCACCTATCCCTGCCCAGGTACCCCCAACCCCACTCCCTGTCTTATGCAGGCCTTGGGCAGCCAAGGCCTAGTGGAGCCCCACCCTGCACAGCTGCAGATATTTATAGCTGTGTCCCTTTTCCAGCCCTTTTGACGCTCCCTTGGCTGTGCTTGCTCTCTAGCTCCCTGGCACCCTGCTGAGAATTCAGATCTGGGCCATCAAGAAGTTCAGGAACAAATCTCCTGAAAAAACTGAAATCGCACTACTCTAGTGTTAAAGTCACCTTGTACATTTCTCTGGCTGGGAGTGAGGGGAACTGGGAAGAATGAATTCCTGACATGTCTTTCTTTGGGTTTGTTTGGCTTGCAGTGCCTGCATCTACCTACAGCCCGTCCCCAGGGGCCAATTACAGTCCAACTCCCTACACCCCTTCGCCTGCCCCTGCCTACACCCCCTCGCCTGCCCCTACCTACACTCCCTCACCTACCCCTGCCTATATCCCCTCACCTGCCCCCACCTATACTCCATCCCCTGCACCAACCTATACCCCTTCGCCTGCCCCCAACTATAACCCTGCATCCTCTGCGGCCTACAGCGGGGGCCCTGCAGAGCCTGCCAGCCGTCCCCCCTGGGTGGCAGATGACAGCTTCTCCCAGAAGTTTGCCCCTGGCAAGAGCACCACCTCCATCAGCAAGCAGACCCTGGTCCGGGGGGGCCCAGCCTACACCCCAGCAGGTCCCCAGGTGCCACCACTTGCCAGGGGGACCGTCCAGAGGGCTGAGCGCTTCCCAGCCAGCAGCCGGACTCCACTCTGTGGCCACTGCAACAACGTCATCCGGTATGGTCCAGCTGTGCCCCTGCACTGGGGCACTGGAAGGGCGTGTGTGCGGGTTGCTTGCCCACAGTCTGATCCCTGGTGGGGAGAGATGGGGGTAGGAGGCAGGTATAGGGAGAAAGCCATGGGTCCTTCTGGCTTGCCCTCTGGTCTGACCTCTCTGAGCCATAGCTTCCATACCTGTGTGATACCCACTCCTCTGGGGAGCTGGGAGGATGGCATGAGGTTCGTGGGTGAAGCTCCAGCAGGGTGCCTGGTGCCAGGAGCTCCCCCTTGGGATAAGGCTGAGTTCTGGGAATCACCAGTCTTGCCAGTAGGTTTACGGGGCATGTTGTAAGACAGTGCTGGCTTTGACCCAGTTTTCCTTTAGGGTTGCTTCTGGGTCTTTCCACAGACAGGCCTGGGCTGCTCAGGGCATTGGTGAGCATCTGCCAGACTAAAATGAAAACAAGTGATTTCACATTTAGAAGCCATGGACCAAGGCTGTTGTTTGAATATAGTATGTTTGTGTACATGTATGGTGTGAGCTTATGTACATGAAAAATATACTTTCGTTTAAAAATAAAATAATATGAGGGCCGGGCGCGGTGGCTCAAGCCTGTAATCCCAGCACTTTGGGAGGCCGAGGCGGGTGGATCACAAGGTCAAGAGATCGAGACCATCCTGGTCAACATGGTGAAACCCCGTCTCTACTGAAAATACAAAAAATTAGCTGGGCATGGTGGCACGTGCCTGTAATCCCAGCTACTCAGGAGGCTGAGGCAGGAGAATTGCCTGAACCCAGGAGGCAGAGGTTGCGGTGAGCCGAGATCGCGCCATTGCACTCCAGCCTGGGTAACAAGAGCGAAACTCCGTCTCAAAAAAAAAAAAAAAAAATAAAATAAAATAAAATAATATATACTCATTAGAGAAGAATTAGAAAACACAGAAAAGTAAAAATTAGAATACAAAAAAATGTTCTCATAGTCCCACTGTTCTGACTGCTAACCTGGAACTAGACTATACAGGTTTGTATTCTGGTCTACCACTTACTGGCCGGATGGCCTTAAACAAGTTGTTCAAACTCTGTGTGCCTCAGTTTCCCCATCTGAAAATAGGTAGTGTAATAGTACCTACTGCATAGGATTGTTGTGAGAATTAAGCAAGTTAATAAATGTAAAAGTTTTGTTGAATGGAGGCTGACACAGAGTAATCACTTAATAAATGTTAGCCATCAGCATCATCATTATTGGATTTCTTACTATCATCATCAGTGGTCAACTGAGTTCTATCATATGTTTACCCAGTTCCCTACTGGTGGATGTTTGAATTACTTCTTGGTTTTCCTTATTGTAAGTGATGCAACAATGAACACCTTTCTGCATGAGCTTTCTCTGAATTTCACATTATTTCATCAGAACAGTCACAAAAGTCAGAGTTATTGGGTAAAAGTATAAACAGTGTTGGGGTTCTTAAAATATCTAGTTCAAAGTTCTAGGGGCTGCCTTACTGGGTGCCATTCTCTGTTTCCCCAGGGGCCCATTTCTGGTAGCCATGGGCCGTTCCTGGCACCCTGAAGAGTTCAACTGTGCCTACTGCAAGACTTCCCTGGCAGATGTGTGCTTTGTGGAAGAGCAGAACAACGTTTACTGTGAGCGATGTTATGAGCAGTTCTTTGCCCCAGTCTGTGCCAAGTGCAACACCAAAATTATGGGGGTAAGTGGGCAGCCTCCCCTTCTTCTGACCCATGTTTCTTCCCAGCCCTTCCCCAAGATCGTGGGGTCCCAATAGGAAGCCAAGAAGTTGCCGGTAACAGAGAGAAAGCAACTCCATTTTTATCCTAGAAGGGAATTGGTTTGCCACCAATAAACTTGGAGATAAATGAACTTGACGCAAGGGATGATTGTGCGCCTGTTCCACACAGCTCGAAGAGGTGGAACTTCTGCAAAGCAAGTGATTGCTTCATAGCCTGACCTGACCACTCACCAGAATGTGGCCTTGACCCTCAATGCCCCTTTGGCAAATGACAGTAATAAGCAGTACTTCCTCCCAGATTTAATGTGAGGATTAAGCATCACAGTTTATGTAAGAATGCACAGAACGTGGCACCCAGCTGGAGAGTGAGAAGCCCTTCTCTGCTGCCCCTGGGTCTTTCTTCAGAGTGAAAGGCCAGCATCCTGGGCTCTCCTGACCCATTCCCTGGTACGATGCTTGGGCAGTGGCTGGGGCCTGGTGGGGTAGTCAAGCCCAGTTCCCTCTCTCCTTTCTGTCCTGAGCTCAGGCTCTTTCCCCCAGGAAGTGATGCATGCCTTGAGACAGACGTGGCACACAACCTGCTTTGTCTGCGCGGCCTGCAAGAAGCCTTTCGGGAACAGCCTCTTCCACATGGAAGATGGGGAGCCCTACTGTGAGAAAGGTAGGAACACTTTGGCGATGTTGTGTGGGCACTGCTCTGGGAGAAAGGGGAAGGTGCAGGGAAATAACTCCTCTCTAATCAATTCACAGCCGACCACCCAAGGCCTTTATTTCCGGAAGAAATGTTTGTTTTGTTTTTAATGGCAGAATCATGTTAATATCACACAAAGGAAGTTAACTATCTCTCCTGCCTATATGGTTGCAGCTTTGGGGAGAGTGAGGTGCAGAATCTATAGCTTATTTTACGCATCAGCTGTGTGGATCTGGTTGGGTGAGGTGACTCACACCTTAATCCCAGCACTTTGGGAGGCTGAGGCGGAAGAATCGCTTGAGCCCAGGAGTTTGAGACCAGCAACATAGCAAGATCCAGTCTCTACCAAAAATATAAACATTAGCCAGGTGTGGTGGCATGTGCCTGTAGTCCCAGATACTCAGGAGGCTGAAGTGGGAGGATCACTTGAGTCCAGGAGTTCGAGGCTGCAGTGTCCTGTGAGAGCACCACTGTATTCAGCCTAGGCAACAGAGTTAAGACCCTGTATCTTAAAAAAATTAAAAAAAAAAAAATGTAGATCACAATTTGGCATCTTATAACCACTTGAGAAACCTTTCAGGTTATTTTGATTTGGAGACCACAAGGCCTAGTCCGAAAAGGCCTTGGCTGTGGACTTTGTCCTTCATTCTATTCCTGGTTCCACTTTGGGCTGCTTTGTAACCCTGAGCAAGTTACTAACCTTCTCTAAGCCTTACTTCCCACATCTGTAAACACCTGCCTACAGAGCTGTGGTGAGAATTAAACCACAGAAGGAGTGTAGAGACCCCTTCCACTGCCCTTGTGATATTTATCAGACTTTGATGTTCCTTCAGATTCCTGTAATCTCACTGAGTGAATTCAGAGTTTCTCTGTACCCCCAAAATGCTATATGTTATCTTAAAATGCCAAGGAAATTATTGTAAATTCAGGAGACAAAGCACTTCATTAGATAGGTGGGAGTTAGTCACTCACTCATTTATTCAGAGACTTCCCCTTTCAGAAAAGATTTGAAGCAGGTTCCAGAAAAGGTAACACAGACATGAAGGCTAAGATGGTAGAACCAGAAAATCAGAGGGAGGAGAAGCAGGCATGCTGATTATGAAGAATAACACGGCTGCAGGGACTGACTGGGTAGCAAGTTTGAGGGCAGAAAGAGAAACACAGTAAGTTAGTTTACTTTAAAATCAGAAAGAAGAAAACATGCAGTTCCTCAAGGGAAAAAGCAAAACAAAATAAAATTTATTTCCCCTGACTGTAAACTAGAAAAGAAACGTGTTGGCCAGGCACCAAGGTACCTGGAGCGACCCAGACTCGAATCCCACATGGGCCACTTCCAGGCTGGGTGACCACGGACAAAGTATTTACTCCTTCTAAGCCTCTGTTTCCTCTCTAGACCACCTCCTTCAGAGGCTGTTGTGAGGATTAACTGAGATAATGTGTGCAAAGCTCTTAGCAAAGCAGCTGCCCAGGGTAAGTGGGCAATGGGAGTGGTCTGTGAAGTGGCTCCAGGAGACCCAGAGCTCTCCATGGAGCACGGTTTACAATCCGTTTCCTTAAGCAATAAGCATCACTGAAATGTTTAAGGCAAGGAAATAATACAATCCAATTTTTATTTTAGAAAGAGTACAGAGGCCGGGGGCCGTGGCTCACGCCTGCAGTCCCAACACATTGAGAGGCCGAGGAGGGTGGATCAAATGAGGTCAGGAGTTTGAGACCAGCCTGGTCAACATGGTGAAATCCCATCTCTACTAAAAATACAAAAATTAGCTGGGTGTGGTCACGCACACCTGTAATCCCAGCTACTCGGGAGGCTGGGGAAGGAGAATCGCCTGAACCACGTAGGCAGAGGTTGCAGTGAGCTGGGATCATGCCACTGCACTCCAGCCTGGGTGACAGAGCCAAGATTCTGTCTCAAAAACAAAAACAAATGGGGTGGGGGGG